GCTCATAGTTTTGTTTACCCATGAATGGGTAGCATCAGGCAGTTTCAACCTTCCAAATTGGATAAATCCATCACCTGCCTGGCAGTTCAATGGCTTGTTTCTGACACATCCTTGAGACCAGTCCCCAGAGCTCCATCCATCTGGTGATTTAGGCTTGAATCCTTTCAAACATTGGCAAGCTGGAAGTTGAGTGCTGTCACAATTCCCATATGCACCACAAAGCCCATATTTGTCACAATACTCGTTATGTACGTATGTGAAAAGCTTCCAAGTTCGAGTTTCCTCACTCCATGTGTGTCTCTGCCTTGTGTGGTCAGTTCGGTTCAGAACAATCCTTGAGAGCACAGACTTGTTTTTGAAGGAAAACATGTAGTAGACCTCCTCTTCATTGGAGACAAATTCATAACTAAAAACTCGGTTATCAGGACTTAAATATGGGGCACCACTAAATCTTATGCCATTCCAGGGGCCACTCCGGAAATATTTCTGTGAGCCTTTCCAGAGCACAGCCTCAGGATTGCCTTGTAGTTCAATTTCCCAAGTAAAGTCACCAGGAGATGGATCATCAGAGTTCTTCCACGCTAAGAGATGCCGGTCAAGGCCAGTTCTCAAGTCCCATCCTAGTTTCATCCCTGGTAGCAGTGTATCAGATGGATAATCAAAGCTTTGCCACAAGTAAGCTTCCGAATTTCCATCCCTACCATCTATCAAAACAAGATTGCCAGAATTCAGGAGTTGCAGTATAGGATTCTGAGCTGCTTTTGTTGAGTTAGCTGACCAAACGACAGTTATGTTCTGACTCAGAACCTGAAGATCACCAGTGGTTGTTACCATCAACATGCCAGAAGAGTCATTTAATGGATTCACCCTGTTTGCAACCCAAACAACCGTTCTGACTGGGATGTTCTTGTACCAAATTCCCAGGTACCGGTTCCCAAAACTGCCTGGATGGAAGAAACCCAACTCAAAGCTTCCATCATGGGAAACTAAGGTCTTTCCATCGGGGAGAGGCTCAGATGGAGAAATGTAGTCAATTGCTGTGGAGGCTTTCAAGAAGATTAAAAAAGAAGTACTTACAAATGCTATCAAAGTAAAAACATCCATTGTATGTCTAAAATTGAAGCTATCCTGGCAAGATAAATGCCGACCCTCCATGATTTGAGCAAGTCTAAATGCCTGCATATGAAAGAAAAAAAGACCTGACTTGTGTGCATCCTAACAAACTAGTGAAAGACGGGTGATGGATTTGAACAATTGACCTGTGACGAATTGGGTATGCTAAAAGAACAGTGGAAGTTGCATGTTCCAATCAATTGCAAGCATTTATAATAACTGTAAAATGCTAGATATGCCTATTTTCAAAGTTTAGTAAATAGCACCAGCTCAAGCAAAGAGTCAAAATATCCACCTTCTATCCTATACATTAATTCCACATTCTGGGTAAGGTTCAGTGTTTGTCTTGCAACTTCTTCTCACTTTCATAAAATAATTCAAGGTACAACTAATATGCAAACAAGAAAGTTTTGTCTTGATGAATCCACTGTAAGCAATGATAATACAGATCTTAAAAATCAAATCGGACCGTATCATTGCCTTGTACGTATAATAAAAGGCAATGGATGAATCTATGAACAGTATTTCATTATGATATACAGCATGAGGCATAAAGTTCAAGATTCCTCTATTGAGCGTTCAATAGTGTCAGAGTAAGTTCAATAGTTTCAGATGATTCCATCATACTTGATGAAGAACCTGTTTCTAATGATTTCTCTTCCATAAGAATACTGGGTTCTCTTGGTTGCGCCAACACACAATCTCACTACCCAGCATTAGAACCATGGATGGTATACTAGGTTTGTCATCAGCATGTTGTTGAACACATAACAGACCTATTCGGATGCACTGGGTCACTTCTGATAGGGTGCATGAATCTTCCAAAAATGAATCAATCAGGCTTTCCTTCTTTCCACGATCACCATTCCTAAGACAAATACATATTGTAAAATTTTTCTATGGTCATTTCGGTTCAAAGCATGCTCCAACAGTAAGTCTTGATACTTACATCCAATCAGGTTAAGATCATGATTAATATAATAAAACCCTCTGATATTCTCCCCATGTATTGCCTCGAGCAATAGTATACCAAAGCTAAAAACATCCAATTTAACTGAGAATTCCCATCAATAGCATATTCTGGTGCCTTGTAACCACTGCAGAAGATCATCCAAAGAAAATTATACACCTGAGGATACTGGGGAGATCTAAGTGTAGAAATAAGACTTACTAGGTTAACCTGAGGATACTGGGGAGATCTAAGTGTAGAAAATTATCCTACGGTTTTTTTGTGGATGTAGCTATAACTTATCCATATACCTACAAATTATAAATCATAACTAATAGAACCCTATACCTATAAAATAGTGAGCATAGGTAAAAAAAAGCGTAGCTAAATGGCAAAAATGCTGTAGTGGTTCCAACCACTGTTTGTGCTCGCTTCCATCTGGTATCCTTCCAAAGTTGTAGCCATGCCAAACTCTGAGATTTCAGGTTCATCTCTCTATCAAGCAGTATCTCTATAAATGATCCTTAATCTGGAATCTTGGTGTAGATAGATAAGCCTCCAAAAAAATTCCACAGATAATGTGGAAACTCTTGGACCAGCCTAATAGTTTTCTTATTGTTTAATCTTGCAAGTATGATATTTGCATTAGTGCAGTTTCCTAAAATTGTGCATGCACAAACTAATTGTGATAAATTCATGCCACTCCTACAAAGTGTATTTGGTTTTTAATCTGACCAAAAATGAAGAAGTCCAAACTTTTGTTGGACATGTATTCAAAAATCAGCGTTTTCTCCCCTCCCTGGAGGCAGCATCCCAGAAGCTTTACAAGATTCCAATCTTGAAGTTTGGCTATAAGTGCAATTTCTCCTTGAACTCATTTAATCCTTGCCCAGAGCTTCTTGAAAGCCTCTTCACAGCAATTTCTTGTCCATTGGCCAGAATACCCTAAATTATGTATCATAGAACTTGTTATCATATTCTGTAAACGAAATCTCTCTGTCTTCCAATTGTTCATTTTTATTTTGAAGTATAATATCAAGAATGTACCTTGTACACTGGCCCAAACCACCTTCCCCTAGCTTTAGCTATTATAGGTAGGTCAAAATACTGAACTTTCATTTCCTCATTTTGCCATTTTTTGCTTCAGTCACCCTCCACAAGATTTTTCCCTCTCCCTGAAACAGTAGAAAATGTGCCAACTTTAAGTCAAGTGTAGAATGTTATACTTGGACCCTAAGAACATTGGGTACAACCATAATTCTGAACAGGAAGGATGACATATATTTATACTAGCTGAATTAAACATA